AGCGCGGTGAAGGTGGGGCGCTCCTCGGCCTTCTGTCGTGCGAGAGGGGAGAGCCCTGCTGGAGCCTGCCAGCCGCCCCACTGCTCCCTGCACCCGGGGGAGCCGCAGAGCCGTGTCAGCCCCCCCAGGGCAGCTGGGGGTGATGACCGAGGGTGAGAGCAACTTACCTCATGCCAGCAGCTGTACATGATGGCATAGACCCGCTCAGAGGCCTGCTGTGGCCGGTAGAGGCGCAGGCCTTGGATGACATGCTCTGTTGTCTCGCTGTTACTAAACCTCTCATAAGGCATCTTTCCCAGAGAGTAAACTTCCCACATCAGAACGCCTGTTACAGGAAATGGCAGGGACAGTTTATGTCAGGGGAGCACCTGTGCCTGAAGCTGGTTTGCAGAGGAGCTCACTGTTGTTGGGGCACCCTCTCTTCCTGAGCTCCGAGTCATTAATGCCGTGCTCTTACCAAAAGCCCAGACGTCAGACTTGCTGCTGAACTTGCTGTACAGGAGCACTTCAGGGGGAGACCACCGCACTGGAAACTTTGACCCCATGGAACTTGTATACTCGTCATCAAGAACGTACCTGCAGCAGACAAATGGATCAGAGTGCCTGTCTTGGATTTCACGTTTCATTCCTCCATGCAACCAACCAAGCCCCAAAAGAATCAACAGCTCTCCCAATGACCAGAGGTTGCACTTCACATGGGTTTCAACAGGCAGAAATGTTCCTCTGCAAACAAGTATATGTTAGTCAAGACTAGGGAAAGGACAGGTTGACACAGAAACATAGCAGAAAGGGGATGTGGAGAGAAAGCGGCAGCCAGGAGACTAGAGGTGGGGGAAAGAAGCAGCAAAAGGGTGGGGGAAGGGACAGGGGAAGTAAGAAAGGGATGGTGGAAATTGGAAAGGCAGAGGTTGAGCCAGATAGGTGAAGCGGAAAGACCAAAGACAGGAAAAGCAGAGCCAGATGATGGTGGGAAGAAAGACTAAGTGCAGAAGAGACTGAAGGAGGAGACGGGGGATTGAGATTGGAAGGTGACACAGATGTATCTACCAGACCTGGAAAGGCCAAAATCTGATACTTTCACAATTCCTTGGTCGTTCACCAAACAGTTGCGAGCAGCCTGTGGATGGAGAGATGGAGGCAGTCACTCCTACCTGCTTCTGCCTCTCCCATCCCCTGTACCATCTGGAACTTCATGTCACCCCCACCCACTTAACACTTCAGCTCACTTTGTCCTGCAGGTTCACCTGGATTGGGACAAGCTACAAAGTCCTCAGCAGAGATAGCAAGAGAGGTCTCCAGGCATCTTGTTTATCTACAGAGGGGTGACTGCCCTGGTGGGATTTTGCCTGAACAAAGCAGCACCAGGATATCAGGTGCAGCACCTAGCAGGACTGCAAGCTGGCAATGCCAGCCCAAGGCCTGACAAACTCAGGCTCAGTTTTTCATGGGGGTCAAGAAGTCTGAGCCAGCGATGCTGCCTGTGCTGCCTAATGCAAACACTGCCCTAGCCACAAATGCATTTCCCATCCCCTGGAAAACTACCTAGTCCTGCCCTTTCTGCAATCTCTGCTAATCCACTGCAGAGCAGTGACTTCAGAGCATCTCGCCCATGCTCATGTGGGCAGGGAAGCTTAGAGGGATGTCCTGCAGAGAAGGCTGCAGAGCTGCCTCTCCTCATGTTGATGAACTAGCTGGATCCTGTCTAAGACATGCTGTGGCTGTTGCTGAGCTGGAGATGTGTCCTTCAGCCACAGCCCTACCAGGTCTCGGTGCAGGAACTGCTTGGATTCCAAGTACTCCATAGCTTCACAGACATCCTTGCACATCTCCAGCAGCTCAGCGGGCTGGAACCGCCGCCGAGTTTCCCTCAGGAAGTTCAGGAGGCAGCCGTTGGCCATGTACTCAGTGATGATGAAGATGGGACGCTGCTTGGTGCAAACCCCGTAGAGCTGCACCAGCTTCTCATGAGAGAGGTTCCTATGTGGGAGCAAGAGGGGCAATTCTGAGCATCTAGAAGGCCACACAGCAAAAGAAGCATCTGTGAATAAAGAGAATTTGGGAAAGAAAGGTGCTCCTTGCCCAGCCAACGGTGGGAAAGCTCACCAGGGAATCAGCACAACAGTGGGTTCTCAGATGCATTTTGCAGAGTGTGAAGCTGCCCAAGACTGTCCCTCCAGACCACCCAGAAGTGCAGCCATTCTGACAGGCCATATCCAGCACTGACCTGCAAGCTGCTCACCACTTACATCATGACTTTGGCTTCGTCGATAAACTCATCCTCTGACATGGAGCCCTCCCTGATCATTTTGATAGCAACGTCGTACTGGCCTCTCCATTTCCCGTACTTCACCACGCCAAACTGCCCCGTCCCCAGTTCCTTCAGGAAGGTCAGATCCTTCGGGTCAATCTCCCACGACCCTAGGACAGAGAGTGCAAGCGTAATGTGGGTGCAGGTTACCTCCCTGTAGGGTGCTCCCAGTCGTCTGATCAAGCAAGCCCAAAAAATGCTTAAGCATGTGCTGCCTGAAAAACCATCCCCAAAAATGTTGAGACCTGTTCCTCTGGGGGATGGGGAGCAAAGTAGCTTGTGGCATCTCTTGATCAGTACTGTCAGTGTTGGGAAGTGATTCCTGGGAAAGCTGTGAGCCCTGCTGCCATGGGACAGCCAGGATCCCAACCCTAGAAAGTTACTGTACTGGTAGAGGTGGGCCATGCAACCAGGGAACCATGAGGTAGCCCAGGCCAGCTTACCATAGCCAAGGCCAGCTGTGGAAGGAGCGCTCTTCTGGTGTTGAGACACAGGGTACTTCAGTCTGGATATGAGCCCTGAAACACAAAAAGGTAAATTGCCGCACTTACCCACCATGTTCCAGCAGGGAACACAAGCCTCCTGCCTTCAGGGCAGGAAGGTGAGGATACCGTTGTGTCAGTAAAAACACTGCTGGCCTCACTCTGTCCCCCCAACACTGACCGGCAGAGTTGTGCTGATGGTATGTGATGAGCTCCGGGATGGTGTTGAACAGGTGCTTTTCTGCCAGGTAATACTGATTCTGGGGGGTGCAGCATACAACGTAATGGCGGATTGTGCCTTGGGGGTCTCTGGAGAGACAGTACATGGGGTCAGCAGCATGGGTAGGACAGGCGTAGGGGTGCCAGGGGGGCCCTCCGAGGTATGAACAAGCTATTCTTAGATCCACTTACACAGAGGACTTGGCATAGACGGAGACAGTGTATTTCCCTGTCTTGCTGGTGGAGTCTCGGACAATGAAGCCCCCTTCCTTACCCTAAAACAGAAAGGGGAGAGGGGATGGGGTGGTTGTGGGGAGGTGTGACCATAAAGGCAAGACTTAAAGTGAGTGAAGATCACAGCATGGCTGGAGAGGGTGTGACACATCAGAGGAATCCTATTCCAGTCCTTGCCAGGGGGGCCACTTCCTGAAGCACCTGCCAGGAGGAGGTCATGTTGGGGTAGAGATGATTTCTGGGGCTGTTGGGGTGACAATCCCCTCCCAGCACAAGCCAGGGTTGGTCCCATGCTGGACACAACATGACAGCAGCCCATGGAGGGCTGGTGTGTAGAAAGGACCCAGCCTTGGGAGTGAACATAGAATCAGACCTCCAAGATCATCAAGGCCAACTGGCAACCCAACACCACCATGCCTACTAAACCATGTCCCAAAGTGCCACGTCTACACATTTTTTGAACAACTCTTAAGCCATGAGCAGCCAGCTTCTCTAGTAGAATGCTATGGGAGACAGTGCCAAAGGCTTTACTGAAGTCCAGGTAGACAACATCCACAGCCTTTCCCTCATCCACTGGGTGGGTCACCTGGTCATAGAAGGAGATCG